GTAAGGTTCAATGTCCGTGCGCGATCAAGTAAATCCTCATACAGGGAGGACTCGGCCGACCGGCCAACATTTGAGTCGGGGGTATTAGACTGAAAGGAATCAACCGCACTATGGAATTGCTCTAGCTCGCGTGTCTCCCTGTCTTCAAATGCGAGTTCTCGCATGGTGTGTAAAATCATGCCCCACGCGAACGCGGCCGGATTGGCAGTTTTACATTCGAGTCCTTCAGATAGGAACATTTCATGGATTTGGCCGAGCTCCTCCTTGCCCAAGAAATAAGGGGTTTTGGACGATTCAGGGTTCTTGCCCTTCGTGAATGTCCTGTTCATGAGCGAAGGAATCGACGACTGGACCTTAAGAAGTGCTATAGTAGTTAGAGACACGAAGCCCTGAAGAGGCACCAACACTTCCAAGGGTTCCTGGCATGGCTTCAGCTAGTCAGTACATGTCCGATTTCTGAGGCGCACAAACAGAAACTCACAATGACAAGTGGCTCTAAAAAGCTATACTCAACCATCAGCTTGAGCCAAGAGAGCACGAGCTTGGCGGATGGAATCTCCGTGGAGGCCTGGAGTTGGTAAAATAATATCTGCACGATATGAAGGATTTCCTCAACGAGAGTTGTGGTCCGCAAGTTTTCCACTTGCTGGTTAGTCTCCGTGACGCTTAGCCACCCGCCATCTTCCGCCAGAGACGCTAGTCGACTGCGGACAGCTTCAATACAGCTTTCACTGAATGCGTGCCAGTTTCCTCCTTTGAATTTGTCTTCGAAGATCTTGGCGCCTAATCGGCACAAATCGCTTTGCTCTGTGGTGCCAACTTCGATTTTGCTGAGATGGAAAAAGCCTAGAAGTTTGCGAGATGTCTTGATAACATGGCTTCGTTCGGAGAGATAGATATTACGCAGCCGTAAACGCCTGCTATTCTCGGAAAGAAAGTCGGCAGAATCATCATTCACCAGGATCTTGCGATTGAGAATTTCCGCCAGAGCAGGCCCTGCGAGGGACGCGCGCAGGTTATCGGCCCCTGTTGCACTTTGCAGACTTGTTGTTTCCTCCCCGGCGAAGCGAGTCAAGAGGCGTGTAGCAGGCCGGTGTTGCCATTCCAACACAGTGATCCGAAGCGCGCTGATTTCGTCAATACCAGCTTTCTCACTCAGCCAGAGAGCGTCCGCTTTGATCTGATTGATGTCGTACGACGACTGCGCACTAGTCTCGGCATGAATGGCTGCTGTTTTAGATTCGAAATCCGTCTTGGTTTTCGCCGATGGGGAAGGGAACCCGTTCAAGCAATTCGAGAGGATCTGGATGCTGTCGGAATGCGATAGGAAGGCATGTAATTGCTCTGCATCGTCGTCTATGCTGGCGTGATTGCATGTGTATAGGAAGGCTTGCTTCCAGGACCTAAGCGCGCAGATAGAATTAGTATCTGCTGTCATGTCAGATGTGTTTAATGATAAAGGCGCGTACAGAAGCTGAACGTCCCCGGAGAAGCACTTGTCCAGGGACGGGAAGAAGGCTTCCGGGAGGGGAGCCATTGGCGGGACAACTATATCATTATAGGATCCAAGCAAGCAATGAAAAGAAAAGACGCCGTCCGACCGAGCCAATGGAGAACGACACGGGGATAGACAGAGCAGCGGGGAGCTGGAGGGACAAACACAGAGCTCAACAGCTCACGGCGGGTATCTCCAGAATATTCAACCCGAACGGAGTCTAGCCTGCAAGCCCTGGAGGTCAACAATGATTGCCTATCTGGGTCTAGTGTAGGGCGGTGAGAGAGATTTTTGCAACGACTGATTTGGTTTTGCATGGTTTGAATCCACTACTCCTAAACGGGACAAGCAGCCCGATCCACCCACTCCCGCCGGCGGCGGCGGCGGCGGCATTTGTTGGACTGACTGAGTCAATGGAGGGGATGTGCGATTGCTTGCGGTTACACAACAACTCACTTCTTTCGCAACACTGCTCGGAGGGTTTCGTCAATTCTGGGAGGTAAGTTGGTCCTAGATTTCTTTCTACTCTCACTTCCTCTGCGTTATCTTCATTTGGTCCTCAGTTCATTCTAATCTGTCTCTTGCTCTCCGAGTTTAGTTATATCAAACATGGCGAGCTCCGATCTCGTTGACCATTCCCCCCACCATCCTACCCAGGCTGCCCAACTCACCAGCGCGTCGAATGTCATTCTTATTGATAACTATGACTCCTTCACTTGGAACGTCTATCAGTACTTGGTCCTCGAGGGTGCAACTGTGAATGTCTACCGTAATGACCAAGTCACTCTCGAGGAACTGATCGCCAAAAACCCGACGCAACTCGTGATTAGCCCGGGTCCTGGCCACCCCGAGACCGATGCCGGTATAAGTATTGCTGCGATCAAGCACTTTGGCGGCAAGATCCCCATTTTCGGAGTGTGCATGGGACAGCAATGTATGATCACTTGCTTTGGAGGAAAGGTCGACGTTACCGGCGAGATTTTGCATGGCAAGACATCCCCTCTGAAGCACGATGGCAAAGGCTGCTACGAAGGGTTGCCTGCTAAGCTCGATGTCACCCGGTACCACTCTCTGGCTGGAACTCATTCGACTGTTCCTGACTGCCTGGAGGTCTCCTCTTACGTGCATCTGGCCAATGACAATGCCAACGACAAAACCATTATCATGGGCGTGCGACACAAACAATTCGCGATCGAGGGTGTTCAGTTCCACCCTGAAAGTATTCTTACGGAGAATGGACGGACTATGTTCAGAAATTTCTTGAAGCTCACGGCAGGCACCTGGGAAGGAAATGGGAAGCACTTCCACGAGCACAAGACCGTGGTTTCCTCTGCCCCCTCGGCTGCCGCCCCGAAGACCGATAAGAAGAAGTCTATCCTTGACAAGATCTATGACCACCGCAAAGCTGCTGTGGCTGTGCAGAAGACTATCCCTTCGCAGCGGCCAACAGACTTGCAAGCTGCTTACGACCTCAACCTTGCCCCCCCTCAGATCTCCTTCCCCGACCGCCTCAGAAAATCCCCTTATCATCTGTCCCTCATGGCTGAGATCAAGCGGGCTTCTCCTTCCAAAGGCATGATTGCCGAGCATGCATGTGCGCCAGCCCAGGCTCGGCAATATGCGAAGGCTGGAGCCAGTGTCATTTCCGTCCTTACTGAGCCTGAATGGTTCAAGGGCAGCATTGATGACCTGCGCGCTGTTCGTCAAAGCCTTGAAGGCTTCACCAACAGGCCTGCGATCCTTCGCAAAGAATTTGTTTTTGACGAATACCAGATTTTGGAAGCGCGGTTGGCTGGTGCCGATACAGTGCTGCTCATTGTGAAGATGCTCAGTACCGAGCTTCTCACAAGACTGTATAAATATTCCCGCAGTCTCGGAATGGAACCACTGGTTGAAGTCAACAACCCAGAGGAGATGAAGATTGCTGTTGATTTGGGAGCGCAGGTCATTGGTGTCAACAACCGTGACCTGACTAGCTTTGAGGTCGATCTCGGAACCACAAGCCGCCTGATGGACCAGGTTCCTTCCAGTACCATCGTTTGCGCGCTGAGTGGCATTTCTGGACCTAAAGATGTGGAAGCTTACAAGAAAGACGGCGTCAAAGCGATCCTGGTCGGTGAGGCTTTGATGCGCGCGGCGGACACGTCTGCTTTCGTTGCAGAATTGCTCGGTGGCAGTGATAAGAGTGTTGGGACTAGGATCCAGAGCTCTCCACTTGTGAAGATCTGTGGCACGCGATCTGAGGAAGCGGCAAAGGCCGCCATTGAAGCTGGCGCCGATCTTATCGGCATTATCATGGTACAAGGAAGGAAGCGACTTGTTCCGGATGATGTTGCATTGCGGATCTCACGGGTTGTCAAGACCACACCTAAGCCCGCCAGCCAGTCCATCCAAACACCCGATGCAGCAGCTGTGGACTACTTTGATCACTCTGCTTCGATTCTGCGTCATCCTAGCCGGGCTCTGCTCGTGGGTGTATTCCAAAACCAGCCATTAGAGTACATCTTGTCTCAGCAACAGAAGCTCGAACTTGATGTCGTTCAATTGCATGGCTCTGAGCCCCTCGAGTGGGCGAGGTCGATTCCCGTTCCTGTCATTCGCAAATTCGGTCTCGACGAGCCCGCAATTGCCCGGAGATCTTACCACACGTTGCCCCTACTAGACTCTGGAGCTGGAGGATCTGGTGAGCTCTTGGATCAATCACGTGTCGAGCGAGTTTTGGAGAGCGACAGCGGCCTACGTGTCATTCTTGCTGGAGGTCTGGATCCAACGAATGTCGTTGAGACGATCCAAAGGCTCGGCAAGTCCAGCGCTAAGGTGGTGGGCGTGGACGTCAGCTCTGGCGTCGAGTCAGACGGCGCACAGGATCTGGAGAAGATCCGCGCCTTTGTTAAGGCTGTCAAGGGCCTGCATGCATGATTTGGGGTCTGTTTTCTGCAGTAAATTCTATGAATGAACCTATTGGGCCACATCAATCTTATTCTTACTTCCTGGCCATTTTTATTCGTATACTTTCAGGAACACCAGCGGTGTTTTGCTTATGGTTGAGTATACTTCCATAGCTGTCATCTCATAATCACTTATTCTTTAAATCAATTTGCCTTCTGCCACTATCTTTCCCTCACGTGGAATGGAGGAGAGTTACATCTGAGTAGGTTGAGATATACATGCCTACTCCATTCCCATGTTGATGGAGCATCTATCTTCCTCACACCCGCAAATATCATTACATTGTGAGGTCTGTCTCAACATTTAGGCCCTGACGACATTCTCTCTCAACCGTCAACCACCTCATACTAGTCTGATGGTCGAATTTGGGGCCAACGCTATCAGACGGCTTTTATACAATCTTGATTTATCTCTATCATCCCACTTCAGCATCTTACTTACTACGTAGTGGATATCCTGGTGAATGTTTCTTCTTCGTCATCTTTCTCCCCATTCACCTTTTGTTCTCTGCTTTCCCATCACCAGAGAGCCAATATAACTTCACTCTGCTACTATCCTCCGTATTCCTCCTTCTGGTACACCGAACCCTTCCCTTCCAACTCCCTCCACCCGCTCCACCCGAAGAGGCCAAAAACCATGGGCAAGACATTCCAAAAGATCCACGCCTGCTCGGCAGGCAAATTCCCCAAAGACGGAGACAAAATCCCGCAATGGATTCGCGCCAACGGAGGCGAATACCATTCGACTATCGCCCCGCAAGTAACTCATCTCATCACGACTCTCGAGGCGTATAAGAAAAACATCACGCCAGGTATAGCACACCTTCCTCCCCTCCTTCTCGGAAAACGGCGGCTGTCTCTGACTCTTGTCCAGTCCGCGAAGCCAAGGCGCTGAAAAACATCAAGATCGTGACGTTCGACTGGCTGGAGGACTCATTGCTCGCCAAGGACAGAAAGCCAAAGCGGGTGACTGAATACCTCCTCGAAACGGTAGTGAAGGAGGAGAAGAAACGGAAGAAGAAACCAGCTCGAGGGGCTTCTCGGGCCATAAAGTCGGTGGATGCTGCGGGCACAACGAGGAAGGCTGGTGCTGCGAAGAAGCCCGCAGGTACGCCCTCATCCCCCCTCGCGAGTCGTCATCTTGTTCCAGAAGCCTCTAATGGCGAGAGTAGGGAGAATAAAGAATCCAGACCCGTTTGGAAAGGCTACTGCCAAATTCAAGGCGGGAACCGCTGCGGGTAGGTGGAATATATATCATCAGGTGATGAGAGAGATGCTATGGTCGATGCCTTTTGCTAGGGTACTAACGGTGGACTGGGAACACAGCCAAGTATTGCATCTACGTGGGCGAGAAAACTGGGATCAAGTATGATATCCCTCTGGTGCGGTTTATGGCCTCGAGAAGGTCGAGGGAGAAGATTCGTCTTAAGGTCAGTCTATCTACGAATCTTCACTCGTTATACAACTGTGGAGCTCGTGGGCAAAGAAGCTGAGGAAGTATTATCCTGCTTTAGGTATACGAATCCAAGGCCGAGCCACACGTTTACGCTGCGTACATGGAATACAGTCGCAGCGGAGCAGCTTGTGCCCAGATTTTGACGCCTCTGGGGACGAGTTTGAAGACGGCCGTGGATGCATTTGAGGCCAAGTTCAAGAGTAAGACCGGGATAGCCTGGGCTGATAGGTCGAACGGGGTTGCGCCGCCTCCGAAGGTGGACAAGGAAGGCAATCCGCTGCCTGCGCATCAGGGGTGGTATTTCTTTGAAGACGGCCAGAGCATATTATCCCAGTACTTGCAGTCTTCTACTGCTGTCGAAGATCAGGGGCCTGAATTCGAAACAGCTGGTGGGGGCCATTTTGGATTGATGGAAGAAATGCATTGCTCTGGGCGCTGAAATCGAGCAGAAGATGAGTGCTGCAGGCATTGACCTCAGCCTGAATACCACTCGTGGGCTTACTCCCGGCTTGGACAGCTCAGTTCTAGGTGATTGTGAGATGCAACAGGAAAAGCGGTGCGCTGGGCTTAAATTGCAGAATGGGTGATCATTTCGGAATTGGCCCTAAGAAAGGCACCCATGTAAATATATATGCTGCAGGATCCCCACCAGAGGGCGCGGGCAGTGAGCGCTTTACACTGGGCCAAAAAAGAAAAAAAGAAGATGAAGATGATTTATGTTCTTTCAGATGGGTATACAAATAGCGACGTAAAATGCCAACGGTGCGAACACACGACCAGGAAGCTCCTTCTAACACCTCTTGCGCCAAATCAAACTTTTCCTGTAGCCTTTTGCGCTTGACAGCGAAATGCCAGCTGACCGATCCTCTTGCTCACAAATAATCCTTCTTCTTGCTGGTTCTCGTGTATTGCGTGAGTGCCCATTCCACATCACCACTCGACCCCTTCTCCAGGGAGCCTCCACGGATCTCGAACAGCCTCATGGTCATGCGAGGGCCAACCTCCGCCAGCTCCACATCCCGATATCCGGTCTTGACGAAGACGTGGTGTCGCACCTCGATACTGTCCTCCTTGTTCACAAAGCTGACGACCCGATTGCCAACTTTGCCATCCTCGCGGGGCGGGAAAAGGTGCTTCAGGATTTGCACCACACGGAGACCCAGCTTGGTTGTGAACCCCTCGAAGACGAGATGGGGGTAGCTCTCGGAGACGGTTCCGCGAGCCGCGTCGGGGATATCGGCACGGAGAACGACATTGTGAAGGGAGAAGCTGGCCGTAGGGCCGTGCGGCAGGTGGGAGATGGTCATCGCCGTAGGCGTACCACGGTGTTCGTGCAGGAGGATCATGTCGGTCAGCGCCGCGGCGGTTGCGCTCGAGACGAGATCGGGCAGGACGAGATTACCACGGTTCAGACGGATCGCGGTGGGAAGGAGCAGACGAACTTCTTTGGCGAAGGTACCGAGGCGGACAGAGGGGCTTCGAGAAGTTGTGACAATAGGGCGAGGGTCGGCGATACCCGAGGTGAGCGCATATTCGTCGTCCAAGTCCACCTTATCGGCGTCCTTGTCTGCACTGGGGAGCGACTCATCGTATTTGAAGTCTTCGCGCAGGGCTTTGTCGTTGGCGATGGAGGGGTCGAGGGGTTTGCCGGAGGCCAGCGACGCTTTCAGTTGAGCTCGCTTTTCGGCGATAGAGGCATCGCGGAGGGTTAGAGCTCTCCGATAGAGATAGTCTCGTCGCTCACGGGCTTGACGGCGCTGAAAATGATATATGTCAGTATGCTAGATATGAAGTCGCAAGTAGATCAGCAGCTCGAAGAAAGAGCACAAACGTACCAACATCTTGAGTGTCCAGCCTGTATTGGGGTTCTGATACAAAGATCGGATAAGTTATCGAATGCGGCATGCCGCCCATCTTTTTTTCTTCCCTAAACTGCCGCTCTGGTCCGCCTTGGCCACCGGACTGTGGAATTTGGCGGCAAACAATCGCCGATAACTTGATCGAGCCCGATCGCATACCACCCGCCACTTAGTCCTCCGGTTGACAACATTACGCCTGGTCTAAGAGGGCAAGCCGATACACTTCCCTGTCAAGTAAACTCAGTGGCGGCTGGAACTTGCTGTGACTGAAGGTTTGACTCCCCTGTGCTATGCGCAAGTGAATTCCGCTTCGCTGAGACCACTCCACTACACTTGTTCTCACTTCCCTCTCTTTTGCCCCTCTACCGTGACACACTGACAAGTTGGGTGACAAGATTATTAAGAACAAGCTGACTCGCGGACTTCTGTAGTGCCACAGACGACGGGCTTGTCCGCTGCACTCATTTCAATCCCTACGACCCGCCGTTCCTGTATCACCTTCCGATCTGCGGCGGCCGAGGTATCTTTTGCTTCTTATACCTTTGCTATCCTGCGCCCACACACATATCACTGCGTCTACGACCTCTGTCAACCATCCATAACACCAAACGCCAGCTATGGCTGCACTGGTCGATGAGAGGATTGCTGCAGACCTCGATGAGTCTCATCAATTCCGTCCCCGGAGACATGATGACGACGACGAGGGTTCCGACCACCTAGGAGATGATGATGCTGAGAGCACCGCCAGTGCTACTGTCGCGGAGCGTAAGAATAATGAAGGACATTTCGATGAGGAGAAAGAGCTTCCACCGCATGCTTGCTCGTATGTGTCTTAAGACTGCCCCTCTTAGCTCACCTCTTTGCTAACATGAGCTTGCAGTTATTGCGGTATCCACAATCCGAGTAGCGTCGTGAAGTGCCTGGCTTGCAGCAAATGGTTCTGCAGTGCTCGTGGTAATACATCATCTTCTCATATTGTCAATCATCTCGTTCGCGCCCGTCACAAGGAGGTCCAACTACACCCTGCCTCGTCGCTCGGCGATACCATCCTCGAGTGTTACAACTGCGGCACCAAGAATGTTTTCCTTCTCGGTTTCATTCCGGCCAAGTCCGACACAGTTGTTGTCTTGCTGTGCCGTCAGCCATGTGCCGCCATGCCTTCCTCCAAGGATATGAACTGGGATACTTCGCGGTGGCAGCCTTTGATCGAAGATCGCTCGTTTCTTCCCTGGCTTGTGGCTGCTCCCTCCGACCAGGAGCAGCTTCGCGCTCGCCATCTTAGCCCCCAATTGATCGCTAAATTGGAAGAGATGTGGAAGGAAAACTCCCAGGCGACCTTCTCGGATCTGGAAAAGGCCACAGCCGTGGACGACGAGCCTGCACCCGTTTTGCTGCGTTACGACGATGCTTTTCAGTATCAGAATATCTTCGGACCGCTGGTCAAAATTGAAGCGGACTACGACCGGAAACTGAAGGAGTCTCAGTCTCAGGATGGGTTGATTGTGCGCTGGGACCTCGGTCTTAACAACAAACACCTAGCCAGTTTTATCTTGCCCAAACTCGAACTCGGTGATGTGAAATTGGCTGTAGGTGATGAGATGCGCTTGAAATATAGCGGTGAATTGCGTCCGAAGTGGGAAGGTGTTGGATATGTCATCAAGATCCCGAACAACCAGTCCGATGAAGTGACTATCGAACTGCGTGCCAAGGGTGACCACAAGTCGGTGCCTACCGAATGCACGCACAACTTTACGGCTGACTATGTATGGAAGTCTACCTCCTTTGATCGCATGCAGCTCGCTATGAAGACTTTTGCTGTCGATGAGATGAGTGTTTCTGGTTACATCTTTCACCGTCTCCTCGGACACGAAGTTGCCGCTGCGCCTATGAAGACCCAGATGCCCAAGAAGTTCAGTGTTCCGGGACTTCCTGAGCTCAACAACAGCCAAATCAATGCGGTCAAAAGCGTGCTTCAGAGGCCTTTAAGTCTTATTCAAGGACCGCCCGGAACCGGTAAAACTGTCACCTCGGCTACAATTATCTATCACCTCGCCAAAATCAACGGTGGTCAAGTTCTGGTTTGTGCGCCCTCGAACGTTGCCGTTGATCAGTTGTGTGAACGTATCCACAGAACTGGTCTCAAGACGGTCCGTGTGACTGCGAAGTCGCGAGAGGATGTTGAATCTCCTGTTGGTTTCCTTTCTCTGCACGAGCAGGTTCGCATTAACGACAGCAACATTGAACTTATCAAGCTCAACCAATTGAAGGCTGAGCTCGGCGAATTGTCCAGTCAAGACGAAAAGCGTCTCAAACAGCTCACGCGTTCCGCAGAACGAGAGATCCTCAACAACGCCGATGTCATCTGCTGTACCTGTGTCGGTGCTGGCGATCCTCGTCTTTCCAAACTCAAGTTCCGCACTGTGTTGATTGACGAATCGACTCAGTCTGCTGAGCCTGAGTGTATGATTCCTTTGGTCTTGGGCTGCAAGCAAGTCGTCCTTGTTGGTGATCATCAACAGCTGGGTCCTGTCATCATGAACAAGAAGGCTGCCAAGGCTGGCCTGAATCAATCGCTCTTTGAGCGTCTTGTTATCCTGGGATGCTCACCTATTCGCTTGAACGTTCAATACCGCATGCATCCATGTCTATCCGAGTTCCCCTCGAATATGTTTTACGAAGGTTCTTTGCAGAACGGTATCTCTCCTTTGGACCGTCTCCGCCGAGACGTCGACTTCCCTTGGCCCATCCTTGATAACCCTATGATGTTCTGGTCAAACCTGGGTAACGAAGAAATCTCGGCCTCCGGTACTTCCTATCTCAACCGCACTGAAGCGACCAACGTCGAGAAGATTGTCACTCGTTTCTTCAAGGCCGGAGTGCAGCCCCAGGATATTGGTATCATCACTCCTTACGAAGGTCAGCGTAGTTACATCGTCAGCTCCATGCAGGCCACCGGTACATTCAAGAAAGAGCACTACAAGGAAATTGAGGTCGCTTCCGTCGACGCTTTCCAGGGCCGTGAGAAGGATTTCATCATCCTTTCGTGTGTTCGTTCCAATGACCACCAAGGCATCGGTTTCTTGAGCGACCCCCGCCGTCTCAACGTCGCGCTCACTCGTGCTAAGTACGGACTGGTGATTCTGGGCAATCCCAAGGTTCTTTCGAAGCATCCTTTGTGGAACTGCCTCTTGCAACACTTCAAGGAGCGGCATTGTCTTGTTGAGGGACCCTTGTCCAACCTGCAGGAATCCCTCATCCAATTCAGCCGCCCGAAGCAGGCATATCGTGGACCTCAGAGATTTCAGATGGCGTTCAATCATGCCTCCAACGTGACTAGTGGGTTGATGACAGGAAAGAATGGTCACCGCAACGAATTCCATGATACTGGATCCGTTGTAGGATACATTCCCGATGATGTTTCTTCTGTCCATTCATCCGCTCTTGGTGGTGTGAGCATTCCTTCCGGCTACCCGCCTATGTTCCAGAACTTTGCCGACTCGTGGCCGGCCCTCCCAGGCGGTCGCCGAGCCAATGGAAACCGGATGAAGGGTGCCCCTAGTATTGCTGGGGAGTCTATCGCAGCCACCGAGTCTGATGTCACGGGCAGCATCATCGACGGGAAGAGCGCCGATCAAGGGGGTGTCAGCCTTGCTGGTCTGAGCATCAACGACATGACCAAGCAGCCCAGTCTCAGTCAATCTGACCGTCTGAAGCGTTATGTGGAGTCTGGAGGACGTGAGCCTTACAAGCCTGGTGTTCCCGACAACGGCAGCATCTTTGGAGGCAGCTCGACTAGCATTCGTGTCACTCGGGGTGTTCCAGGGCACATGCACGACGACGATGATACTCGCAGCGTCTCGACTGCTTTTGCCAGCCAGATTGGTGGAAATTATGATTGATTGAAGAGGCTTGGCAAGTTCAGAATCGGGAGCTGACCCTGAAGCTTCTACAGTCATCCCCACAGACTTCGGAACAGCCAGTCGCAGAATTGACTGGACTGGCTGTCTTCGGACAAGACTCGATGTCCTGGCGCTCCACATGGCCTTGGCGATATTCTCAAGGAAGGGGGATCCCCTGTGCTTTTCAGGGCAGCTTCAGTAAGAGCAGACCCTCAACAATAGGAGACGATTGCGACATCCTCGTTCTCTTTTCGGCACTCTTGTCGATAACGGATGCAAGTCTCGAGTTTCGAACTGCTGCTACCTGTCACCGTAGCGAACATCGGTCCTGGTCACACTGTGGTGCAGTCCTACAGGACCCTACTAACCGCATGTGATGGGCGAGGGCTGTATGGAAACATCTCGTACTATGCCTCATGGATATTATTGATATTAGTCGCTCGAAGAGTCAGCGGTATGCCATGTCAATTCCTCCGCTTACGGCTGCGCTCGGGAGTCACGAGGCAACCAGCCAGTCCTACTATTATCGCGGACGAGGTGAATGAAGGTTATTCGACACCACCAATCCCAGTCCAACGTCTCTTTCTTTTCTTCTGCTACCATTGCGTTACATTGCTTATTGTCGTATCTCCAAGTCAATCTAAAAAAAAATCATATCCGAACTGTGCTATTATCATGGCGTGCGAGGCTATGGCTGTTAGTTGAGTAAGTGATGTGCGTACTAGCATAACACTTTGTATCGTAGCTCGGTTCCCATGATGCAGTCTGACCATTTTGATCCGGCACCTCCGGTCCATTGACTCTACTCGGGAGCAGCATAGCCACATAACGTCCTTGATCAGCGGAAGTAGGAACAAAGAACAGAGTCAAGGAGTAGCAGAGCTCAGGTAGGCATCCATATTTCCAGTGTCCTTCTTGCCAGCTGCTCAGCATCATCAACTCATTGGTATTGAACAGTCAAGGAGCTCTCATTATAGTTTGCCTAGACGTGCGAGTATTAGCTTCATATCTAAGGGCAGGCCACGACGGCTTATGTGCATCAAGTTGACGGGACAATATTCTGAAGTAGACACAAGCTAGTCTCCGCACTGATAGATATCAATATTGAAGTATAAGCATTTACATGTTTCACATAGCGCAGCAATTCTTGTATAGAAGCTTTCGAGAAGGCAGTCATCAGTCCCTTGTCGATCATCCTAAACATAACTAACTACCCAGTGCTTCGAAGGCTTGTCTAAGCTACGGAGATAAGAGAATGATTAATCTATTCACTGATTCAGGTAAAGACAACGACAATGATGAAGATATTATCGGTGGTATTGATCGTGGCAGGACTGCGCCACCGATGGCGATCCATGCAAGTATACAAATGTAATCCCGGACAAGACCTGAGTCTGTATCTGTAGGCTCGATAGGCTCAGAAACCGAGATGCCTAGTTGTTCTTGTCCGAGGAACAAGAACTAAGAGAGTTACTGAGCACGAGCATGCAGGTGACGCAATTTCTGGACACTTTTGTGGCCATGCCTTCTGGGACGCATGAATGGCTGGTTTGATCGGCCATGGTATATCCGATCTCGATTATACCCGATACCGGCAACTGGACCGCCACTTGCATGGACCATATACTCTACTGTGCAAGAATCGAAGAAGAACAAGGAATTGTCTGGGGGCAGGTGGGCAGTCTAGCTTGCAAATCTTTGGACGCTGGATAGCGCAGCTACATGATGTGCGTAGGGATGAGCTGTATTGCTACCGATGAATCTACCAATATACATAGTATGTCACGGGCATGTACAGTACAGTACCCTGCGCGTCAAACACATCAAGCCAGGATAAGCCGCGCCACGATCCCTGCTTCTTTCAAAGCATGGAGCGTCTCAGGTGTTCAGTGAGCCTGTCTTTCAGGGTTGATTGGTGTAATTTCTTGCTTTGAGTCTATGGTGGAGCAGCGCTTAACGGACTCTGTGCCTAATGAATGGAGCGGCTCGGGATTGGGCGAGAAAACGCAGTATGCCATGCCTGCCCTCTGCTCCGATGCCGCAGGAGGTTTGGGTACCTAAGGTAGTAAACAGCCTGGGTGAGAGATATAATTTTGAGGGAAATCTTGGCATGATTGACTTGAATGAGCGAGACGGGACGGAATGGATTGGAAAAATGGTTAATATTGATCTATTGTCTGTTGGCAGGTAACAGTGATGGGATGAAGATTGGTTCAATCTATGGAGTCGTCCAGCCGAGGCGCCGCGACATGTCGGACTTTCCCAAAATAGAAATCGGACTTCGCCACAGTAGGTAGGCCAGTGTGGCTGAAGCACAGCATGACCTGCACGTGCCGTAGTGATTGCCAGGCAGCAATGAGGCATGAAAAACCTTTTTCGCCTGGTATGTGGCGGCTCGTAATCCGTACAGTAAAACCAATTATCAGAACAACACCTCAGCTTCGGCCTGGGGTGACCAGGAATGAATAGTTTGGGCTTATCCTGCCGACAAACCTCCCTTCCCCTCGCTTGGTTGCCTGATGTTGACTTTCTGCGTGACTCACTAGTCGCAGCCTAAACAGTTTTCAAGTCCTTAGAGACTAGAGAGGGAGAGAGAGAGAGAGAGAGAGAGTTTGCCATCAAGATTTTTTGGGTGATTCGGCGCCTAGCAATACAACCTATTGTGTACCATTGTCCGCGCCGGACAAATATAACGCGTCTCTGATCACACCACGTGTGCAAGGCATGTAGGCATGTAGAGTTGATTTTCAGAGTACCGGTCAGATTCGTAGTAAGCCAGAATAATCACAATAACAATAATCGTAACTGTCTACATACATGAACCGACGTTTCGCCCTGGTTTGTTTGTTCTCCATCCATCCCTATCCCGTTTTCTCGCTGTCCCAGTGGCGGTTTGCCAAGCCTCCAGCTGCTTAGTCACTCGATGCCTGGCTTAGTGTCCTAAAAATCCTGGCAATCCGCCCTTCCGAGTTAAGGAACCAACATCCATCCTCCAGCCAGTGCCACCCGACTCAAACTAGGTCAACCAACTCGATTCTATACCAACTTGCTTGTGCTTTCTTTTGCTACCCCTAGATCTTGTTATTTATTAATCTTTCTTTTCATTGTTGCAGTCATATAGACCTTGGTCTCGAAGTCTCTCGGTTCAACTTTTTCCATTCCTCCCAGGGACACCTCCGCCCAATTCAATTGACGGCGGGGTTGGAACTACGCTATGGGTGACGGTTCTGATTATCCTAGCCCACGAAGTGAAGGTCCTGGCGGACCTACCTCAGTTTTAGTCGCTACCCAGGAACCGCTTGTCGCAGCACCCAAGATGAACGTGAACGAACAACTCCCGCCCAATTTCATGGAAGGGGCGCGTCCGCGACTGTCGGTGAGGCGAGCGCGGGATCCGCCCAAGAACTCTGCAGGCCAAATCTACTGCGATCACCCCGAGTGCCAACAATCGCCTCCCACTTTTCGCCGTCCATGCGAGTGGAAGTAAGTTTTCTCTTTTCCTCTCCAATTTGTTGAACCACCGGAATGGAATGCTAACATGCCATCGTAACAGTAAGCACATGGACAAACATGACCGCCCCTACAAGTGCTTGGAACCCGGGTGTGACAAGATTCAGGGATTCACATACTCCGGCGGTCTTCTGCGGCACCAGCGCGAGGTGCATAAGAAAAACATCAATGCCAAGAAACCACTGATGTGTCCCTACGTCGATTGCAATCGCAGTACAGGAAATGGGTTTACGCGTCAGGAGAACCTGAAGGAGCACCTTCGCCGTCGCCACATGCATACCGAAACTGGTCCTGCATCAGATCTCCCCATGGTCCCGTCTCCGGAACTGGATGGCGCCGCAGCTCTCGGCGTGCCTCCCACCTTGAAGCGCAAGCGCGACTCTATCGATGAGGATCCGACCTTGGACCTCTCCGAGGACGGTGGAAATGGCGTCACTCTCCGGAACGAGCTCAAGAGACTGCAGCTCGAGGTCCAGGAAAAGGATCGCCGGCTGGAAGAGCTCGAAAGAATTGTCGCTGGTCTGCAGCAAGCTATACCGCAGACCGCGACCTCTCAAGGATAGATGCCCCCCGAGGCAAAGACTCTCTACGATTTACATGTTTTCAACTCCCCCTTCCCCATCCTCTTTTCTCCATCTTGTCCGTGTCATTCTTTATCCCAGACACTTCCTTGATGCTTGAAATCTCTCTCTTTATTTATGGTCTGCACTGTGTGGTTTGCATTCGATGGGCGTTTTCATATGCAAAGCACGGGCCCCGGGTTCGCGCGATTCTGTCTACAACATCAGTGGGAGGTTCGTTCATATGGTTGGTCTACATCTCAGAAGAATGCATGGATAAAAAATCAGGCAGCTCTGACGATATGGCGTTTGCTCGAGGTCGAAGATACAGACCAGGTGGTGTTCTAATGGTTCCTACTCTTTCTTTATTTCCTGAAATATACCCAGGCGTTTTTCAAACCTAAGTTTCCTTTGTCACTCCCCAGTCTATCCTCATGATGTTGTCTCTACTCTGGTGCGTAGTCATTTTGTCTATGTTGGGATTCCAAAGGAGTCGGATTCGTCTATGATGCATGTCATAATATCCTCCAGACATATTATTACCTTTAGTGGCTTTCGAGGATGTACGATCCATCTCATTCCGTAATCATCGGCAAGCGACGCTGCGGCATCCAGCCCCAAACCCTCAAATCACGGCACAATTATAGTGGTGGGATGTATTCACATACTCGCCTCCTTGGTCTAGCACATACAAAGCGCTGACTCGCTGGGCTCAAGTGACTGACAGCTCGGTGTATCGAATCTCTGTCATCCAGCCTTGTGAAATCCAGGATTCGCAACTCCCAGACCACCACGAGTTTCACGGCCGCGGCAAGGAATCATCTACCGCGTAGGATTAGGCTAGCTTGTCTCTCGTGATTCTTACTCTGACTCATGTGCTTCTAGCCCCGCCTGATAAAGAGCAAGCTGGCTCTGCAAAGCAGTGCAGCTCGAGCCACAGTGACTCATGCTATGTAAAGAGCTGCCGATATTTGCTATCTGGTTACGCAAGGGTTCAGGGATGGCGGTAGATTCAACGAGCTGATGTTCAGGCTTCTCGAGGGGCGTAGTCGGGTGGCGAATTTCAACCAATAGCATCGTTGGTCAAACGGTTACGATACTTGTCTTCCAAACAAGTGGCCCGGGTTCGACTCCCGGACGATGCATTAACTTTTGCCTTGATCCTGTTTCAACTCGACTTTTTGTGTAGCTCACCATGGCTGGTGGAGGTCTCGATTGGTCGCGCGCACTCATTCTGTTGAGCTTGAAGTCATTGTTACTTTAGTTTGTTGATGTGATGTGCTTGTACTGTACCTCGGCGGGGATGCATGCAGTGTCGTCACTTCCTAGACATATAACCCCGCCTTGTCAAATGTCAGATGTGGATTGTTGTGATACTTGCAGTGTAGTTCACTTACCCATGTGCTGAGTCATTTCACTACACGATTGGGTGAGACTCCATAGGCTAAATCTTCCACATCTATCCGAACCACAAGTCCGTCTGTACCTGAAAGCCGAGAACCCACTTACTTGGCACAAAGGCGGCGATCATATAATGAAAAAGCAGACAGGAAGAAGGGAGTCAAATCAAACGAATCAATGCAGTCCGAACAGCGAATGGACGGACCCTTCACTCGATGCGTATCTCTCAAACTAGCGCCTCTTTGTTCTCACGACTCGATGCTTTGGGTTGAGCTTCACAGCAGCAGTGTTCCATTCTCCACTCTTCCCTCACATCTATCCCCCTCTTTCTCCTGTTGTTTGTGAGCACATCTCGAGAACAAAACAAGAGATCAACTGAAACATTCAAAACAAAACGCGCAATCGCTCTTTACAAAAGCCTAGGCCCGGCAAGAATGGCACTGACGTCGTCTTTGGCGGAGGACGCGACGTCCCAAGGTGTCGGTGCACGGTACACCCCGAATCATGAATATAGCCTGGGAAATCGCCGACAGAAGACTGATCAGCCCATGGTATCATACGAGGAATTTGATGTCCAAGCCCGTCAACCCGTCAACGCCGAGAACCATGCCTTCCAGCAGGGCGAATTCGTGCCCGATGGCTTCTTCAACCGAGTCGGCCCTTTGTGCTTCACCATCCCACCTCCAATGTTCCAATGGACCTACGAGATGCGCCGGCGCGCCCAGTCTCTGTTGCCATATCTCTACCTGGGTCCCTGGAGCTGCCTCGCCGACCGCGGCCGACTCGTCCAGGAAGGAATCACGCTTCTCTTAGCCGTGCGGGACAAGCGGCTCGCCATGGCCAGTCTGATCAGCGGCAGGAGGGCAGCGGAAGCTCTGCAGATTGAAGAGGGCACCGTTGACTTTGCAGACAACCAAGACCTTATCGCGATGCTACCCCAACTCATCAACCACATCAACGCGCATGTCGCTTCATTCCCCGCCACTGAGCCGAGCGGCCATGCACGGAAGAAGGTCCTGCTCTTTTGTGAGACGGGGAATGGCCCGTCGGCGGTGGTAGCAATCGCGTATCTGATGGTGATGCTCAACATCAGTCTGCCGCAGGCTCTGCAGTATGTCTCCTCGCGCCGGTTCTGTATCGACATCGATGAATCGGCGTCACAGCTGCTGTTGTCCTTCGAGAGCATCCTCGATGCCAAGCGGGTCGTCCAGCAAGCTCGACGGGCGAGTGAAACAAAGAATACTACGCTCAAGGGTGCGAGTAGTAGAAAGCGGGATGCTGCTGAATTCGATATGGTTGAAGAGGATGGTTACGCTATGGGGTTGGAAGCGGGGGAGGCGGCGGCAGATGAGAACAGACGACCCCTGGCTCCGTTCGAGGATCGGTCAGGATGACATACATGGATGGATGTCCTTCGCGGGCACAAGATAAGATGTTGGAAGATGATGTCAAAAGATGTCAACGTTTTCCCGAGATCTCACTAGTATTTGTGTGTATGTGTGTGTGTGTGTGTGTGTGTGACAATTTTTGTATGACTACAATCTTGAAGCTTGCCTCTTTGTTACATTACCTGAGCAACACCTAGAAAGGAAATAATGATGTCTATGTGGTTTGATGGCTGGGGTTGCCTAACCTCTACTCACTAAGTAAATAGTGATTAAAGTCGGTGAGAGTTCAAATGATGTTCTTTGCTGCTGGTAGAAGCTTCACTCACTATCGCCCGTATGTTTTCCTCTCTGAAAAGGGAAGTCTCGCTCATTCACTGCACTAATCACTTCACTCTCATTCACCAGCTCTCCACGTGCCTTGGGACTCTCTTCTCTTTGGTACTTTCTGTCTGGTATTCGACTCAGATACACCTCTCCGTTTTCTTCATCTTCCTATTTCTCTTGATTACTTTCATCCTCATGTCTCCCTCACCTGACGCGGCAGGCTCATAATGAGACTCCGCGAGACCATCCGCCTGCCCAATCGCCTCAACGAAGAGGCGCACACTTACACGACCCCAAGAAGAGCGCCACGTCGAGCCATCAGTTCCTATCAGTGTAGGGCCGATACTTTTAATCCCAAACTCCCCCCTGCGGCTTTTCCCACGTTGGATCGACCGCGCCCCCCGCAGCTTCGCCCCGATAAACTGAATCACGAGGTCGAAGACCATGACCGTCGCAAGCGCTCCTACGAATGCATGATCAATGATGATGATGATGTCGATGACCCTGTCTTAGAGACGGGTGCGGCAACCCGTGATGAATGCGAGGAGATACCCGTCGAGCAGTTTGACAACTCGATTGCGAGCAATGGCGAGCTCAACCTGATTTACGTCAAGAACATGGCCATCATGGCAGGGGCAGAGCCGGAGAGTGCGACGTTCGAGAAAAGTATGGAGGATAGTGACACGGACGGGGAGGATGAAGAGCTTGTCATAGAACCACTTACGGTAAGATTCCTATTCATGCCGTGAGGGCCGGTTGAAAGCGAAGCACTAACGCGACGAGCTGATCCGACGCTGCAGGCTTCCCAATGGCGCGATCTATTACCGCAAATGCAGGTTGAAGTCTTCGAGAATGTGGAGGAAAGCCATAGTCGACCCGCCAGGATCTTGCTTGGGATCTCGGAAGAGGAGATGAAGGAGCTAGAGCGCAATCGAGGACTTCGCGCAAAGCAGCTGGAGAAGGAAGACCGGCTCCTGGAGGCGATGCGTGCGAAGCAGCTCAGAGCGATTCTTCGGACCAACAATGTCACCCCGCGAGCCAGTCAGGTTCAGCCGAAACTGGCATGTCAGATGGTGCTGCGCCGGTATCTTCGCAAGATTAAGGGGGCTGTCGCACCGGATTTCCTGATCTGTCCGGCCGATGAGGTACTCCGCGCTCGACGGTTTCTGCTGAAATGTGGATTGGACGGAAGACTTGCAGGCGATTGGACGGGTTATATGACAGGATTGCAGGTTTCGGTTGATGATCTGCGTCGTGGGTTGGAAAAGAGCACTGTCCCTGAGCTTCGTGCTTCTGATTCATCTGGCATGAGCTCTGCGGGTGATGCTGCAATTGATAACAGAACGTTGCGAGTGACCGATAGAACATCGGCTCAGGTATCCTTGATCAACTGCATTGGTACAAAGAGCCCATCTATGCTGAAGGATATCTTGTCATGCCAGGGTCATGTCAATGATCCTCCGAGATGGCTGCTTCTCTGTCATCGGGACACAAGCAAGAACTTTCACCATCCCAATTGGGACAATCATGTCGAAACTCGCCTTATCAGTGAGGAAAAGTTGGCTCAGAGAACACATCCCGAGTTGCAGTACATACAACCAAAGAATACCTTCAAGGACTTTCCTCCACTAAGTTGGATTTTCTTCGAGCATTGTGGTCCGATACTTGTCACACGAAAAGGCGACACTACTACAACGTCCGGTGCGAACGAGCACCACAAGAGACATGCCGACGCCTTGACTGGAACATCCCAGAGAGCAGCTAGTGGGACCATGTCAATTGGCTCGGGCCAGTCCGGTGGGATGAAACGTATGACAGTCTCCATGCGTATCAGAAACCAGATCAACGGAATGGTGGTGGAAGCACACAAGAGAATGTCAGAAGGAGCGGCCAGGGAAGCCCAGCAAGATGAACCATCCAAATCCCGCAAATTGCTACCTGAAGAGATATGGACCCCTCCTACAAGTCCTTCTCAAGTGCTTTGCACGACAGATCTTATGTCGCTACAAGATGGTGACAATGATGCCTTCGCTGAAAGCGTGGAACTTCCGAGAATTGAGGATACGCAGGCGGAATTGTCTGAGAGCGTAGAGGATGAAATGCTCAGTCAAGATACAGAGGCGTCATCACATACCACCTGCGAGCTAGGCTCCGGATTAGAGGCAAAGGAGCAATCGAACAGCGCCAAGCCGGACGTTGATACAAGGTCTGAAAGCGAATCCGTCGAAAGTGATGCAGATGAATATGATACTGCGGACGAAATGATCCTTGTGCAGGTACCAACCTAATTCGTGGTTTGCCCATGGAATTGAACCACGCCGCTGAGGGTGAGTGAGTTGCCTGCTTGCCTGCGGCAATCAAAGGACAGGCCCATCCCATCTGGTCCATCACTCGATGTCCTATCTCAAGGAGGAGGAAGCGAAATGTAAGAATAAGATGTCTGTGGTCTATGTAGTTGAAATCTAGATGACAATGTCACACGATAATCTTGATGCACGAGTGATCATCACAGGTAGCCGGGCCAATTAATTTCTTGCGTATAGCCTAATAGTGAAATTCCCACCCACAACTACTTCCTTACTGTCTTAGTAGTCGTACGGTTAAGCAACCGACCTGGATCTTGCCCTGCAGGAAAACCAAAGCTTAGCTTATCTTTCTTTGGCATGGCATGTGACTTCGTGGCGTGGAAGGGCCAGAAGAACAAGAAAATCAATCAAAAGGTGGTCCGTGCGCCCGCAACGCGCCTTTCCGCGTCGTCTCCGTCCGTAAGCCTTTACACCTACTAAGTTCCCGATCCCAAGTCGTCACCACCAACCACTAACTATTGGCTTTTGCAGGCTCGCTGTGTCACTTTGTTGTCTCCGACTTGGTTTGGTTTCAATTGTCTTGCTTTGGAGCACTCTGTCTTCCGCATACCATCTCAATCCGATCCGATCCGACAGAACCCACCGACCGACCCAAGAACAATCAAATCCCCGCGCGCCACAGCGGCGAATCGCGACATTCCTCGATTCCTTCTAGCTTCACAATTCACACGTCTTTTTTTTTTCTTGCCCTCCGGTGGTGGCGAATTGGTATAGTGGTTTTTGTGTCTTACACCACTAATCCTACATACAATTATCCAGATTGATTGGACAGGACAGGACAGCACAGAGGATACTGTTATATTTCTATAATACTTAATTCATCGCTAGCACGTCAACGTTCAACTCGCCTGCGGAAGCGGAAGCCGATTGCGAAACTCACGGACGCCCTACCCGCTGTTACACCGAAGGAGAAAGAAAAGCAAAGGGGAGATAAAGGCAAGCGCAAGCCAAAAATGACGAGCACCACCGTGGAGCAGAATGGAGGCCAGCATCACCACTCTTCCGAGAACGGGAAGCCCGGTGCCGGTGCCGGTGCCGGCCCCGTGGAGGATATGGAGGGGATGGATGTACAGGCGAAGGCGTTGATGCATTTGTTGAATACGAGTGAGGTTGGTCATCCTTTTCCTTGGGGTTTGCGCCGGTTTGTTTGGTGCGGTCTTCGGGGGGGG